AGTGGTGCTTGCCTATAATCCCAGCAATTTAGGAACCCGAGGCAGGAGGATTGCAAGGTCTTCAAGGCAGTCAAGATGACATAGTGAGACCTTGTCTCAAAATAAAAAATCAAAAGGGTCAGGGATATAGCTCGTGATAAAGCACATGGCTTGAGGCCTTGGGTTTAATCTTCAGCACTACACATTTACCCCACCCCAAATTTGAAAAAACTAAACATACCAGAATAAAGGATGCTGTTCCTACTTAGTTTTGTTAGTGCTCTTTGACATAATTTACCTTTGATATCAGTTTGTGTATATGGGTAATTTTACTTCTGTGGCTTCTATGTGAACTTATTTAAAAACTATAAAGATGTAGATTTTTATATTAGTTCATCTAAATAGTTTATTTAGTTGGATCCTTCTTTGTCTCCTTTCTATCTGGTACACCACTCTAGGGGAAAATGGAGTTAAGTTTTGTTTTTTTTCTTTAATATTTTTTATAGGGCTGGGGATGTGGCTCAAGCGGTAGCGCGCTCGCCTGGCATGCGTGCGGCCCAGGTTCGATCCTCAGCACCACATACAAAACAGAGATGTTGTGTCCGCCGATAACTAAAAGATAAATATTAAAAAAATTAAAAAAAAAAAAAAATTTTATAGTTTTTTAAATAGTTCCGAACCCAGTCTCTGAGGTATGGCCATGCAAGTGCTCAACCACTGAGTTACATCCCCAGCCCCTGGGGTTAAGTTTTTTTTTTTTTTTAGTTGTAGGTGGACACAATACCTTTATTTATTTTTATGTGGTGCTGAGGATTGAACTCAGTGCCTCACACATGCTAGGCAGGCATTCTACCACTGAGCTACAGCACAGCCCTTGGGGTTCAGTTTTAAGATGAATAAAATCCATATCTCTACCCCCAGAGATCTGCTTTGATTTCTTTGTTTAGTAGGACTCAAAGGAAAATGAGAGCTGGGGTATCTTGTACCTAGTGCTCTTTGATTCTGTGGTGTTTGTTTGTTTGTTTCTAAGAGCTTAAAGATGTTATGCCAATTTACAGGAGATAGGGAGTTACGAAAATAATTCTTTTTTAATATTTTTTTTTAGTTATAGTTGGCCACAATACCTTTATTTTATTTATTTATTTTTATGTGGTGCTGAGGATAGTACCCAGAGCCTCACACATGCCAGACGACTGCACTACCACTGAGCCACAACCCAGATCCACGAAAAGAATTTTTGAATAATCAGTTCATTTGCTAATGGGGGAAGAGAGAAAGGAAAAATTGGATTGAGTGGTCCCTGTGGAACTTCTGATCTAGTATTTTCCAGGTATGTAGTTTAACCTGCTTTGTCCTAATATAATCTTTCTTCCCCCCCAGTGCTGGAGTTGAACCCAGGGCTTTGTATATGCTAGGCAAGTACTCTGTCTCTGAGCTACATCTACATTCTCCCCTTTAAAAAAAAATCTTACTTTGAGATGGAATCTTGCTGAGTTACTCAGGTTGGCCTCAAATTTTATTTTATTTATTTATTTTTGGTACTGGGAATTGAACCCAGAGGTGCTTAATCACTGGGCCACATCCCCAGCCCTTTTTCATATTTTACATTATTTTTTATTTTGGGGGGGAGGGTGCTGGGGATTAGAACTTAGGGCCTTGTGCATGCAAGACAAGCACTCTATCAACTGAGCTATGTCCCAGCCCCTTAGCCTAAATTTTCAAACCACCTGCCTCAAATCTCCTGTAGCTAAGATTATAGGTGTGCACCATTGCACCTGGCTCAGACTCCATCTCTTTGAAAAAAGGTTAAAAGTAATGATTTTTAATGTTTTCATCATAAACAAATGAAAATGTTTGAGGGGTTAGGTATGTTTGACTTGATTTAAATATTACACAATATGTGCATATATCAAAACATTGCCTGCTACACATTAATAGATATAATTTTTATGTATCAGTTAAAAACAAATTTAATTTATAAGATTTGAAATGTTTGTCAAAGAGATGTTGTCATTTTCATATTCATAGCAACACTATTCATAATAGCCAAGTTATAGAATCAACCTAAATGTCTCTCAACAGATGAATAGATAAAGAAAATATGGCATATTTTCACAATGGAAGACTATTCAGCCTTTAAAAAGAAGGAAATTCTGTCATTTTGTAACTGCAGGATGGAACTGGAGAACATTATGCTAAGTAAAAGAATCCAGACACACAAAAACAAATACTACATGTTCTCATCACATGTGGAATCTAAAATAATCAAACTCACAGAAGCAGAGGGTAGAATGGCTGTTAGAAAGGCTGAGAGGTGGGGGAGTACAAAAGGGTATAAAATCTCAGGAGAAATGAGATTCTTTTTTTTTAAAGATCTAATTGCACACCTTGGTGAATTTTATTAATAGTGTATTACAGGAGCTGGGGTTGTGGCTCAGTGGTAGAGTGCTTGCCTAGCATGTGTGAGGTACTGGGTTTGATTTTCAGCACCACATATAAATAAATAATAAAGTTCCATTGACAACTAAAAAATATTTTAAGGAAAAAAAAATAGTGTATTGTACATTTCAAAATTACTAAGTAATTTCAAATGTCCTCACCACAACGAAATGATGGGTTATCTGAGGTGATGGATATATTAGCTTGATTCAGTTATCCCATATTATATTCATAAGTCATATCTCTTTGTACTCCATATAAGAGCTATAAATTGTTAATTTACAATTAAAAAAAAACACCATGAATAGCCAGTTACAGTGAGACACATCAGTAGGATGACAACTACAAAAGAGAAACACGGGGGAGCTGGGGTTGTGGCTCAGTGGCAGAGCGCTTGCCTAGCATGTGTGAGGCACTGGGTTCGATTCTCAGCACCACATACAAATAAATGAACAAAATAAAGGTCCATCAACATCTTAAAAAATAAATAAATATATAAAAGAAACACATAGCTCACTGGTAGAGTGCTTGCCTTTACTGCAGCCTGCAGGAACCCTGGATTCAATCCCCAGCACACACACAAACAAAACAAACAAAAAAAAACAGCCTTCAAAAAGTGAATATTAGAATTTTAAAAAATTAAATTGATTGCCTTTATGGATCTGGTCCTCAAGAGTAAGCTTTCTGAACCACATTAAGCCAAAGGAGAAGGTATCTACCAAGGACTTCAATAGCAAGGATAAATTGGTATATAATTAATGAGTATCTGAGGGCAGGGAAGGTGCTTTTTTGAAAAATATGTCATTACTGAGAGATGCTGTTATTTATTTATTTGCTGTAATTGGCTCCTATTTCCAATCTCAGTTGCAATTCCCACATTGAGGCTGTTCCCACCCTTCCTGTGTCCCTTGAGCTGAGCAGGCACTTCCTGTCCTATTGGAAATGAAAGTTACAGACTGGGGGTGGATGTGTATGTGTGTATTTACTCTGCAGAATGCTAGTACTGTCTGTTCCATTATCATATCAAAAAAAAGTGACAGGAAAACCAGGCTGGAGACCAGAACTTCATTTTAGGAGCTTTATGTTTGTTGTGACAAAACAGACTGGATCAATTGATGTTTGGAGGGTACTTGTGATGTCGCAGGGTGGCCTTAAGAAGGGATTTGAACACTTTCATTCTAAGTCCTGTTCCACTTAGATGGGGAGGGTTCCTGGGTATCAATGTTAAGTTTTTGGCTTACTAGAATTTTCTTGTTAAGGCTTCTCCTACAAGGGATTTCTTTGAAACTATTAGATTTAAATCTTGTTACAACTGTGTTAGGTTCTTACTCTTAAGTTATGTTTTCTCCCTAGGAAATTTTCTATTTTTCTTCTTTAAAACATGTGTTCTTTAAATAGTTATGTATATATTTATTTTTACAGCTCCAAGAGGACTTAAGCAGCCCTCCCAACTCTACAAACTTCAGCGTGGACATAAATTCCAGTTTTGGTGAGTTGCTGTACTTATTTCAGCTTCATGGATCTTAAAAGACTTGGAAATAGTGGGATAAAGAGTCAAATAAGATATATTTCAGTCTGATAATGGCTTTTTTGGTGGGGAGGGTGCCAGGGATACTTAACTACTGAGCCACATCCCCAGACCTTTTTATCTTTTTATTTTGAAACAGGGCCTCACTAAGTTCCTTAGGGTCTTGCTTACTTGCTGAGGCTGACTTTGAACTTGTGATCTATCCTCTTGCTTCATCCTCCCAAGCTGCTCGGATTACAGGCATGCACCACCCGGCCTGATAATGCCTTCTTAAATATGAACTCCTTCCTGAGAGAATGTGAAATAGGAGTCCCAGGGTATTAGCGTAATCTGGGAGAAACAGAACTATCTAAGGATCTAAAATTCATTTTTCCCCATTTTTTATTTTCTCTGCTTTTTGGTGTGTTCCTCTGTTCTTTATTAGAGCATTAAGATCACTCTAAATATACTCTATCTCAGTATATTTTCTTTTTTTGTTGGTAGGGGATTGAACCCAGGGGTACTTAATCACTGAGCCACATCCCCAGCCCTTTTTATATTTCATTTCTTTGCTAAGCTGCATAGGGACTTGCTAAATTACTAAGGCTGGCTCTGAACTATCCTCCTGCCTCAGCCTCTTGAGTTGCTGGGAATTTGTTTTCTTTATGTATTCACCAAGTCAATATCTCAGTGGTCCCTTTGGCATCAAGCTTAAAATCTTCTTATAGCTGAGATCTGAGGAAAGGGAAATTTCTGTTGTCTTTTTATAAGAATCAGAACTTGTTCACAGAGTAAAGGGGATGAATTTGAAAAGGGTTAAACCTACAGATTCTTCTTTCTAGCTTTAACTACTGAGCTTATGGAAAACAAAAAACTAATATCTTGGGCATTAGGACCCAGTGGAAGTGGCTCGTTCAGACTCTGGGCTAACTTCTCTCAGTGACGTAGAAGCAGCCCTAACTCATTCTTACCCGCAGCCCCCCCATCTCTCTCTCCTGCTCCCTTTCTCCCCTTTCTCCTCCCCCTCCCTTCTCCCTCTCCCTCCCTCTTTTTTTTTCCCTCCCTCTCTCTCTCTTTCTCCCTCTTTACCCCCTCCCTTTCCTTCTCACTCTTCTCTTTCTCAGTTCTCTAACATTAAAGAGAAAATGCTGCTATCAGTGACTTCCAGGCCTGGGATTTCAACTTTTGGCTATAACAAGAACAACAAAAAGGTAGGGAAAAGAGCTTTTTTGGAATTCAGTTACTTCCTTTTCTGGGGATCCGGGAGTGCCCTTGGCTTTAGCATTCTCCTTTAAGAGGGGAATGAGTTCCTCCCTCGGCTCAGTGCTCTCTTTTCCACTACTTCTTTTGGTGCCATTTCTCACCTGGTTCTGGTGTTAAGAGTTTACAGTCCCTGTTTATGAGGCCTGAGAAGGCATGGAAATTAAAAACAAATCAAGCTTGCAAGTTTGTATCCTTGAGAAATGAAGTTAGACTCCCAGATGATACACCTATCTCCATGGGGATAATATGTCATCTCAGACCGTGTCCCCTAGCCCTCTCCCAACAAACTCATTTTGACTTTTGGTCAACAATGTCTATTCTCCTCCACTCTGCCTTTTGTTTGTTTGTTTGTTTATTTATTTATTATTTTATGTATGTATTTATATTGTGCTAGGGATCAAACCCAGGGTTTCCTGCATGCCAGACAAGCACTCTACCACTAAGCTACATCCCAAGCCCCCTACCTTCCTTACTATCACCAGACTGCTGAAATCACAGGTAGTGCAATTTCACAGCTCATCAAGAACTGGGTATGTTCTTCTAGACCCTGAGACCCTATCCCACTCATTTTGTAAAGAAGGAATCTTGAGAGATGACATGCCTTGGGATTAAGGCATAAAGGTCTGTGATTCTTTGGATCTTGCTTATTATGATCTGATACTTGGAGCTCCGCAGATAACCAGGCTTAGCAGGGATCCTTAGAGTCTTTATGATTAACCATGGCTTCCAGAGAGATGTACTGTGGTTGGGCACATGGGCAGTCTGGAAAGACATGGACAATCTTGCCCACATTTGCCAGGGAATATCCTTGGGAGTTTCTTGGCATTTCAGGGCACAGTATTGATTAAGAGAAATTTTATGGGGCTGGGAATTTAGCTCAGTGGTAGAGTGCTTGTATAGCTTGCATGAGGCTCTGACTTTGATCTCTAGCACTGCCAAAAAATAAATAAATAAAAGAAAGAAAGAAACTTCATGCTGTAGCAGGAAGATTCTACTCACTGTCTGGGTATTGTAACTGTTCTTAATAAGACAGGGATTTTTGCTCATCTAATAGAATGTTGGAGGTTGCAAAGATCTCTGCTGCTTTCTCGTGTACCTATAGAGATCATTGCAGGTAGATTTAAACCTAAGTGTCTAATCAGGGCGGTGGGTGAATTTATTTATTTATTTGTTGTTGTTGATATTGGGATTTAACCCAGGGCTTCATGCATGCTAAGTAAATGCTCTAACCACTTAACTGCTTTCCCAGCCCCTAGTGGGTGAATGTTTATAGACCCAAACTTAATGTTAAGTTATAGTTGTTAGTTTGTATAGTTTTATTCTCTTTATGTCTTTAAGAATGAAAGGTTCATACATATTTGTTGAATATGCATATCCTGATAACCTCCTATTAAATATTATACAGTTTTATGTATTATACAGATATATTTGAGAGGGGAATATTTCATCTATCTTTATTCTCTTCAAATTGGTATAGTACTGTATTAAAGCTTCTTTCCAGATTTTTTTTTCTCTTCACATTTGGGGTTACTCAGAACCCACTAAAATAAAGTAAAATGAATCTCCAAAATTGACTGTTTTCCTATTTCAGGGTCTTATGTATTTGAAGATATCAACCTCTCTCATCATCAGCTCTCCACTCCCTCAACCCCCTGGGAGAATAAGAAGTGTTTAACTAGCTTCTAAATCTAGTGCAGTATAGGGAACAAAAGGTATGGTTGTAAATTTGAGTTCAAATTTCATATCTCTTCCTGATAACGTGTAAGATATAGGAAGAAATTCAGGAAACATTGGGACCAGTGGGCAGGATAGGAATAACATTGTATAACATTAGTAACATTGTTACTAATATGTTTGTCAATCTTTGGGTTCTATGGGTCACTGTTATGTATGAGACATCTAAGGATGCTGTATATTTACATCCTTTTGTGTCTGTATATATGACTCTTGTGTGTTTTTGTTAGATTGTGAATGTTGAGTGTATTTAAACTAATGCTTTACCATGTTTCTAGTCTGCTGTTGACATATAGGCTTAATATGTTTGTTTCTCTGTTTTGGGACAAGTGTTATGGATGCATGAAAATGTATTCATGTAATTTGTGCTTTTTAAAAATAATCTAACATTAATTTTTAAAATAACTTAGCTTTTTAGTGATAAATGTAAGGTATACCCTTTATTAAATTAAACATAAAGGGATTTATAAAATAGTCCTCCCTTTGTGTCCTATAGTTCTTTACTCAACCCAATTCCTCAAGGAAAGTAACTGGTAATAGTTTGGTGTATGTGTCATTTGAGACTTTTTTTTTTTTTTGTAGCAGGGATTGAACCCTGAGGCTCATTGTCACAGGCTACATCCCCAGCCCTTTTTTTATTTTGAGACAGTGTCTCACTAAGTTGCTGAGGAGGCCTTGAACTTGTAATCCTCCTGACTCAGCCACCGGGATTACAGGCATGTGTCACTGTACTCGTATCCAGACTTTTTTAAAATGCCAAAACAGAGTTTTAATCTTGACAGTAGCTAATTTGCTGTTTCTATTAAGATAACCTGTAAGATATAGGAAGATATCAGGTGGAACCAATCTATGTAATAAAGTTGTTGGACCTGCTCCAAATGTTTAAAAAATGGAAATAGGGCTGGGGGTATGTAGCTCAGTGGTAGAGCATGTGCTTGGCATACTCAGGAAGCTCTGAGTTTAGTCCCCAGCACCCATCCCTTAAAAAAGCAATCAAATTATACATATCTGCTACTTTTTTTTAAAAAGACCAGAATTTTTACACCGTAATTTGCTGTTGTCTATAGTCATCACCTGTGGTTTTTAGAATAACAGATTACCAGAGATATTACCATTTTGATTTTTAAATTTTTTTTAAGAAAGAGAGAATTTTTTTAAAATATTTATTTTTTAGTTTTCGGCAGACACAACATCTTTGTTTGTATGTGGTGCTGAGGATCGAACCTGGGCCGCACGCATGCCAGGCGAGCGGGCTACCACTTGAGCCACATCCCCAGCCAGATATTACCATTTTGAAAAGTTGTTTTTTGTGTACCACTTGTGACTTGCTTATATTAAAGTGTATTATTTACTAGATTTTAAAAAGTAGGATTACTTAATTTTTTCCCCTTCTTTTCTGGGGATTGAATCCCAGGTGTTTTACATCCCCATCACCCCCACCCCATTTATTTTTATTTTTATTTTTTTTGCAGTGCTGGGGATTGAACCCAGGGCCTTGTATAAGCCTTGTATAATTTTCTCTTCCCCAGTCCTCCCAAGCCCTTTTTATTTTCACTTTTTTATTTGGGGATAGGGTCCTGCCTAGGCTGGTCTTGAATTTATGATTCTTCTGCCTCGGGATTACAGGTGTGCGCCGCCACACCCAGCAGGATTATTTTATTTTGAAATATATACTTACTGGGGAAGTTTCTAAGAAGCTCATGATAATCATACTTTTCTTACTTTTTGGCTGGTGTTAAATATAAGAATGCAGACAACAAAAGCATAATGCCTAATAAAGGCAATCTTTATTGGGATATAGTGTTAAATTCCCATTTATTTCTTTGGAATTAAAATAGTTACAGAAAGGGGAAATGTGGACTTCAAAAAGGGATTCTGGAAGATAATTTAATGTACTTTTTAAAAACATCAGTTTTAATGGCCTTCAATTAGTCTTTGTTATAGGGCTGAAGCAAAAAAAAGTTATTTCTAGGGTCTTGCCACTGTATCTTCAGTGTTTGAGTGAGTTGTCTCAGTAGGGAGATTGGAGTATAGGTGAGGTTGAAGGAGGAAATATTTGGGACTAAAGGAATTTCATACTTGTACAGGGCCTAACCACACCTTCCCTGACATCATCTCCCTGGCATGTGTTATTATAATTTAACTCCTCATAGCATCAACAACCATTTCCTTTGGAAAAAAAGAAAAGGGACTGCATTTAATGTGGGATTATTTGCTTTCCCCATGTATTTCATACAGTTTCAATTTCTTCTTGATGTTAACACATTGAAGACCAATGTGGGGCTGGAGGCTGTGATGAAAATAGGACTGACTAGTGGGTGTTGCCAGATCTTTAGTCTTTGATAAGCTTCAGTAAACTGAGATGGTCAAGGTGTTTACTCAGAAGAGAGTGAGAAACACTGCTGGAATCATTTCTACTTATAAAGGGAGAGAGAATTTTCTGCATTTATATTTACTACATTTTTGTCTAATCAATTTGAAGAGAACTGAGAACTAAGAACTTGTAGGTCTAATATCTCTTGACTAGGACAGCTTTGTGTGTGTGTGTGTGTGTGAGAGAGAGAGACAAGGTCTTACTATGTTGCCTAGGCTGGCCTCAAACTCCTGGGCTCAAGCAGTCCTCTTGCCTGAACCTCCTGAGTAGCTGAGACTACAGGTACATGCTGCCATGCTTGGCTTAGGACAGCTATGAATTATGTTATTAGTATTAATTTAACTCAGTTGGTTGAAGCTTAGCGGTGATATCTTAACATTGATCCCTCCATTCCATTTTTACGTACCACTCTAATTTGTACTATCAATTTTGACTATTTTTACTACTATAGTAAGCATTCCACATGATGTCCTTGTCTACTGTTTTCCTACCTTTTATGCTTTGCCCCCAAATATAAGAAATTTATATTTTTGGTTGTCCTGGAGATTGAATCCAGGAGTGATATTCCACAGAGCCACATCCCTGGTTCTTTTTATTTTGAGATAGGTCTGGCTAAATTGCTGGGTTTATAGGCATGTGCCACTATGCCTAGCTGCCTCCAAGTAATTTTATACCTGCTTCCAGAACAATCTTCCAACACCCCAGCATTCTAGCACAGATTATTTCTTGTATAAAACACTTTCATAGCTATATATTACCTGCTGGAAAAAGCCTAATTCCCTAGCCTAATATCCACCTGTCTTGCCTTTCCTTATTTTCTCCACCTTACTGGACCCCCCA